ATGAAAGACAGCCAGTATTTGGGACAAGACAAGCAATTAGACAACTCTTCGTCCAGCTTCTTGATGCTTCTGTGCTGCCGGCCCTCTTTCAGACAATCTACAGACGCCCTTTGCAGATCAGGTTGTCATAAGGTTTTGTGCTCATGTGGTAGTGCCTCTGTGTGGGTGACATGTCGACCCATTCAGAAGAGGTTATCAGAACACTAAACCGCCTCTCAGAAATCGGAGGTGGGTGAAGATGAGCTCTCTACTTGACACCATTTGGGATGGTCTAAACTGCAACGTTTTGCCAGAAATGTGGGATTCGACAGCTAAGCGGAAGATCAGGCGGTCAATCGAGAGCAACAAAATAAAGAACATCCTGAATGAGAGGAAGGAGTGTCGGAAATTAAGCAGGAACTATGTTTAGTTGGAGAGGGAGAGAGGGAAAATTATAAAGAGAGGGAGGGAGCAGAAAGAGCTATCGAGTACGAGTAGACGACTTGAGTAGTCTGGAGTCTGGTTTGGGCCTCAAAATGGCCAACTAGCTCATGAGTATTGCATACACACAACGTACACGTATTCACGAAGCTAAAACAAGACTCATATTCTAGTTTATTTATATACAGAAAAGTTGTGATCACATTAGCTCCCCTTTTATACATCTTATTCACACGTAGGGCAGACGTAAAGCAGCCAGACGAATGGTGGAATGTCTCATTAAGATCGCAAAGTTGTATATTAGGAATAAGTACAATTTCAAACAGCCAACTTGCTTGGTTTATAGCTCTTGGTAACAGTTGCTAAGTGATGCTTTCTGACTCGCGCCAATCGGCCACGGGTTTTAGGGAATCAAAAAGAAGATGTTAATTTCAAAGCTGGATGGGCTTATTTCACATTCATTTTGTAGTGGGATTGGCGATGAAGCAAACTTGTATACGCTATTATATTCAACTGCATTACTTATCTTCAGTTTGAGTAGGCCTTCAAACTGCCAGTAAATCTTGAACATGGGCTAAGGCAAGCCGATACCTCCCAATTTCTTGTGAAATTTTCTAGCAATGATATGAGTTGAGCTAACGTCTCCATTGCATTTCCCAAAAGTTATTCTCATCCAGGCACCAGTGGACTGCAGTTTCGACTTCGCATCAACTGGTCTTAGCAAAACCCTCAGCGAGAGTCACAGGGCATAAGTGAATTGCAAGGAAGGTCAGGCCTCTTTGCTGTATCATTTTCTTTGGTGGTAGTGCCGATGAAGCAAACGTATATTTGCTATAACAATCGACTACGTTACTTATTTTCGTATTGGAGTAGAGTTTCGAGACTACCAGTAAATCAGTAGTATGAGACGAAATAGGGTGAATACATCTCATATTACTGATTTATGGTGGTCTCGAAAGTCTACTTGAATACGGAAATTTTCTAACATTCAGAATTGTTGGAGGTACTTTCATTTCGTATAAAGGTGCATGAAGAAGAGCTTCGTGGGTCGATCTCACCAGAAGCAGACGGCTGAACCTCGTTGTACTGCTGACCTCTCGTCCATCATTCAATGGAAATTGTTAGAGCAGGGACTCATTCTTGTAAAAGTCTCAAGTTAAGATGAGGGCAAGAAGACTATCCGACTCCATCTCACCTCTTAAATAGACTCAATTAAGCCAAAAGGAAATTAAAAACCTTGATATGAATAGTGGTTAGGCTAATTATCTTTCATACTGATCCTGCTACTTTTGCTCGAGTGTTGCGTGTGTGCATGTGTGTGTGTGTGTGTTAGCGTCTATTCGCAATACCGGCTCTAACTCAGAGTTGTCAAAAGACTAATGTCATACTCTGATCATCAAGGGCTAATGAGCCTGACTGAGATAGCGTAATTCCATAACCAAATATAGTTGAGATAATGAAATATGAGCTTGTAAGCATGTAAGTCAAGTTACGAAACCATTTGTCCTAACCTTTCAGTCTAGGGTTATTAAGGTTTGACCCCTCAAGGAAAGGCAAGACTGGGTCTGCGTAATCTGACATGTCTGGTTTGGTTGATGAGCTCACTCAAACATGTTGGACGAAGAACACAAAAATGCTTGTAAAGGAAGATGGATCCAACGATCAGAAGTGGCAGAAACTGGACATGAAATGGAATAGTACCATACGCAGAGGTTTGCTGATTATGGTACGTCTGCTATGAAATGCAAGATAAGAGAGGCTATTGAAATTAAACGCTTAGGAAATACGTTGAATGTGTAAAACGGTGGTGCAAAGTGAAGTAGGAACT